ACAGGTAGATCAGCCCAAGTCTTTTCTGTTTTCACACCTTTTTTACACCCAAAAAATCATTCAAAATAGTACACTGTTATCTCAGTAGCCATTAGCTAACATAAAATGTGGCTACACTTTCTTGTGTGGACTATTACAAAAACACTAGGAAATAATGTTATTTGAAAAAAAATTTAAAAAGAAAACACACTTTTATTTTTAGACTATGCTGACCAAGCTGATCTCAAATTATTCTCTTGCCTCAGCCTCTGAGTAGCTAGTATTGCAGGCATGAGGACACATATTTTTGCAGAACTGTTTAAGAAAGCAAAAGGCATGAAAAGTTATTTATTCCCTAGTGCTACTGTCACATTGAGTCAGCATCACTCTAAATAAAGAGTCTTTGTACTGAATGAAAAAGGTAGCCAGAGGAGGGCAAAGGAAGATAACTGAAGAAGAGGAGAACAAAATAAATCTATCCAAAATGGAAATGTATAATAGAAAAACTACAAGTGTTATAGCAAAAGTTATAGCAAAGTTAACAACAACAACAAAAAATAGGTTGTTAAAATAAACACCGAAGAATCTTGCCAAAGGTGACCTAATGAAGTCACCCAAAACATTCAATTCTATCTCAAAAACATCAATAAATTAAACTATATGCTATTGATGTTCTAAACTAGACTTGGGAAAGTCATAATTAAAATGGCAAAATGATTCTACATAGAAAAAAAAATACTGCACCAAATTCTATTCTGGAACAAAGAGAGGCTTTAAACTTATCATGGTTAAGGTGATCTGTGCTGGCGGAAAAACTAAACCTATTTTATTGTGTTTTCCTTGGAAAATAAACTTATCTGGAAATAAGTACAGTTTGATATATTTACTGCATGGTAAAAGTTATTAAAATGAATCTAACATTATTATAATTAACATAATTTGTAGCTCAAGAGAATTGTGTACACCAAAGGCTTCCATGAACAAATTCTTCTGGAGTTTTTCGTAAGTTTCATTTAGAATGTGAGAGATCAAATCAGTCAAACAATAAGACAAAATATGAGACAAATAATAAAACCTTAAGACAATAAGACAAATGATAAAACTTTCCACTGAAAATATGAGTCAGCTCATAGCTTAAGTTAGAGACAAAAGTTCTCCAAACCAAGGCGAAAGATTCCATAATATTTTTCTACTGAAGCACAATTGTTTTCTGATTTCACCATAATTAGAATTATTTAGATAACTATGATATGTGGAGAAAATGTTTAGAGTAGAAAACGGGAAAGTCATTTTTAAGTGCTATATATGTGCTTGCTATTTTTACTGAAAACACTAAGATTTCTTCTATAATGAATAAAGCTTATTAAAAATGTAGATTCCATTAAAATTTACACAAAACAAAATAAATCTAAGTAAAAGGGCAGACTACTAATATAGATGAAAAAGGAACTTTTTAAAAAGAACATACAAGACACTAAGAGGTAAGAAACGTAAAAGGAGAAAAACCAAAACAAACTGAAAAGTGTGACCAAGGAGAGGTAACAGAAAAAAAGTCACATAAACTACACAAGAAGTTTACAGGAAGTAAGGGGGCCAACCAATAATATAAAAAACTCCAGAATCATCAAAGAGGCCCAAGACAAGATTAGTGAATTTGACATCATATTAGTAATTTTAGTATAGCAGTGAGATAAGAATCTAAATTAGATTGGTTTGGGAAATAAATAAGAAGTGTGAAAGTGAAGACAGCAAGAATAGAATCTTGATTCTTTCAAACATTGTTCAAGTAAATAAAAAAATGGAAAAGTAAGATAGTACAGTGAATTGAAGGGAAAAAAACCAAGGATGTAAAAAAGTAGGACACAACTTTATGTTCAGAATCATCAGTGGAAAGAAAGAGAATGTAAATAAGGAAACAAGGAGGATTTAATGTAAAAGGCAAGTTTTAAAAACTGATAAGAAGAAACGAATGAAAAAAATAGGAAGACTTAGCCTGGAACCGTATTCCCATCAAAATACAAGAAAGGTGAGTAAAGATAAAAATTTTGAGACAGTTGATCACTTAAAACTCTATTTATTTTATAAAGTGGTTATCAGGTAAGAGAAAAGAGGACAGTATAAATCTGACTGAAGGACCCTTTATGAATTAGGTTTGGATAATTAATGACAAGAGGTTTCTTTTTTTTTTCTACTCCGATTTACACTTCACATACACTGCTTATTTTTTTTAATTGTAGATAGACACAATACCTTTTTTTGTTTATTTATTTTTATGTGGTGCTGAGGATCAAACCCAGTGCCTCCCACGTGCTAGGCAAGCGCTCTACCACTGAGCCACAACCCTAGCCTTACACTTCTTATTTTCAAATGAGTCAAAAATAAGGGGACTTCTTCAGAAATAACAGTTAGGTTCTCAACTAAACACTGAGAAGACATTTCGGTGAACAGAAATGGGAAAGAAATTTTCCCAACAGAGCCTCAGCTTCATCTTCCACTTATAATACGAATTTTGCACCTCAAAAGGTAAGTGGAGTCCTAAAATATCATTGCAGATAAACTGTATCTTCTTTTGTCATTTTCTATTCATACACAGTTGAATAGAAATACACTTCAGAGGTCACATGGGATTGTGACCCATGTCACAATCACTTCAGAGGTCACATGGGATTGTAATGCAAATGTCATTATAGCCATCTTAGTTTGTGTAAATAAATATATCCTATGAAGTTTGCATGGTGATGAAATTACCTAATGATGCAGCTCTCAAATCGTGTCCCTTTGTGCTGGAAGTCAGTATGAACCAATAAGAACAGTACAGTATTTAAAAGAACCTGACATACATGACATCATGCTATAACATGATGGATCAAATAGCATTCCATTAAAAAGGCTGGAACTATCCTAAAGCTCCATTTGTTGACTGCTTACCTTGTGGCATATGCTACTCTAAGTCCTATTTGTATTGACTACATGTTAGTCAATTATCCCAATTTTACTGATAAGAAAACTGCAGATGAGATATCTAAGAAAATCCAAACAATTTGGGGCTACTTCATAGGTTAGAGTGCTTATAGTATAGAGTTTCAATGTTGAAATAAGAAGAGCTGGCTTCAAATCTACATATCATCCTTGGCTGACCCTGGAGAAATCTTATCCCCCAATCTTAGTTCCTCAGCAGAATAATAATCTGCCCCTCTGCCCCTACATAATCCATATGCTAGTCATGGGAATCCAAGGGGTGCTTTGAAAAACAAACAACAAATGTGTGGATGCATGTGCACAGACACACACACGCACACAATTTAATGATTTACTAATAATTGCTAGGTAAAATGTATATGGTACTAAAAAATTCATTTCTTTTTTTTTTTTTTACTTTTCAGGTTTTATTTTATTTTTATTCTAATTTTTTATCCATTACAGCAGAATGCATTACAGTTCATATCACACATATAAAGAGAGCACATTTTTTCATATCTCTGGTTGTATACAAAGCATATCCACACCATTCATGTCTTCATACATGTATTTAGGGTAATGATATCCATCTCATTCCACCATCTTTTTTACCCCTAGGCTCCCTCTCTTCCCCTCCCACTCCTCTGCCCAATCTTGAGTTCATCTAATCCTCCATGCTCCCCCTCCCTCTCTCACCATGCAGAAAACTCAATGCAAAGTGGATCAAAATTAAACCAGAGACTGCATCTACTAGAAGAAAAAGTAGGCAGAAATCCCCATCACGTCGGATTAGGCCCCAGCTTCACTCATTAGACTCCTATAGTGGAAAAATTAAAATCAATAATCCATAAATGGGATGGATTGAACTAAAAAGCTTCTCAGCAAAAGAAACAATCAGTGAGGTGAGTAGAGAGCCTTCATCTTGGGAGCAAATTTTTACCACTCACACATCAGACAGAGCCCTAACCTCTAGGGTATATAGAGAACTCAGAAAACTGAACAACAAAAAAACAAATAGCCCAATCAATAAATGGACTAAGGAACTGAGTAGACACCTCTCAGAAGATGATATACAATCAATCAACACATATATTTTAAAAAGTTCTACATCTTTATCAATTAGAAAAATACAAATCAAAACAAATTCATTTTCTGAACTATCATAAATTCTCATGCTATAATTCACACTGCTGTGGCTCACATGAAAAATAACTTTAAAAATTCAGGTTTCTGACTATTTTAGGCAGCTTCTTCTACAGTTTGCTCACTAGTAAAAATGGGTAAGTTATTAAATTAGCTTTGTACTTGTGTTTTTCAGCTTAAAATAGAAATAATTCCTATAACATTGCTGAGAAGATGAAGTGAAACAAATAATGTAAAACTTCTACCATAATGCCTTGAACACATATATATGCTTTTTTTTTTTCCAGTAATTCTATCATTTAGCAGAATCACGAAACAAAAGTGTAAAGTGTAAAAGTTGTATGTGTGTGCAAAGATTTTTCTTGGTAAAAAAACTTCAAAGATTCTTACATAAATCCATAGACTGTGTCAAATTTCTTTCTGTCATCCTTACTGTACTCCCCCCCACCCCGCATTCCTCAGGTGGCTCTTTACAGCTATCATTCTCTCAAACTCTGGTTGTCTGATTCTACTTTCACTATTTCAACTCCACCCCTGCTCCCTTTTTGCTACTGGGGTTGAACCCACCTAGGGGCGCTTTATCAGTCAGCTACACCCCTAGTCCTTTTATTTTTTTAAATTTGAGACAAGGTCTTGTTGAGGTTACCCATGAACTTGCAATCCTCTTGCCTCAGCCTCCCCAGTCACTGGGACTATAGGTACTGCCACCATGCCCAGATTCTCATTCTTTCAAAATATAAAAATTTGTATTCACTTTTAGTAAACATTATACTCAGACATTTTAAACACTCACAACCAGATTTCTAGACATTTTTTTCCTAGAATAAGTTCTATCATTTTAGTGACCTGTTAGAATTGAAGCTAATGTTAGTAAACAAGGTTCAATTACATCATCTTTGTTTTTGTACAAACATACTGACCTTGAGGTGAGACTGAAGGAAACAGCAAATCCAGGATGAAATGTGAAAGAGAAAGTCAGAAATAATTAATAAGGACAATATTCAGAAATATTAATTATGGACATAGACAAAACATAAAGCACAGGAATAAAGAACAGGACACACAGATTCTGCATAGGCACTAAAAATTAGTAACTTCAGATTTTCACTCTCAAGAAGTACATTTTCTTATTAGATTACACCATCATACTTTAATCAATCTTTCTAAAGGAAGAAATTTTTGTCTAAAATTTATCATTTCCTGGGACAGGAAAAAAAAAACAATTTCTTAACTACTAAGCAACATAAGAGGAAGTTAGCTACCCTCTTCTCATTTAAGTAGCTAGAACTGTCATTAAGTGATTTTACAACTTTAGTCAGCTCAGTTTTATATACTCCTACCTTATAACTGAGTACTCTTTTTGCTCCCCTTTCCATTAAGAGGATCCAATTTATCCAAAAGGAGAGGCAGAAAGACAATGACAGCTTCAGTTATTCTACAGAATACAGAACTCCCATTTACATGAGAGATTTTGAAATAATTTTCTCAAATGTTGCAAAAAATTTTTCCCTGATCACAATCAGTATTTCTCATTCCTAATAAAATCTTCAAATGGTGCAATCTAAAGGCAACAATGAACAAGAAAGACTCTGTAACACAAATTCATTTCTGACACATTGCTCAGCAGTAAGAGTTGCAAAGTTGTCATGCTTATTATTCCTACATAGCATGAATCCCCTGCAGTTCATTATTGCCTTTCATAACAACAGGCAGTTTTCCTTTTGAAGAATTAATCAATTTCACTGAAATCAGTATTAACCTTCAAATATTTAAGACTTCTAATGGCCAGTTTATTTATTGAATGCAAGCACCATTTCAATTTTCACTTTGTTTTTAAAAATCTGGTATCTCATTTAAAAAGTCTAATTCATATCCTAACTAAAACTAAAGTTTTTAAAAGTCACTATGAGAATTTTTAAAGGAGGGTAAGATTTATTATAACCACTATATAAAATGAAGAGATGAAAAACAAAAACAAATGACTTGCTCACAGTCACACTGCAGGTAACTGGCAGGCAGAGGATAAGAATGTGGGTATGCTGATGTCTCACCTGAAATTACTTTTATATGCTCTATGATACTTCTTCAGGAATATATACAAATCCAAGAATCTTTAACATATTTATCAGTGTCAAATACAAACAAGGTTCAAAGGCAAAAAGAGACCAATCACTAAGTAGATCATTTCTCTAAGGCTCTGTTTTTGTTGGTAATGATACAGAAAGAATAATTTTAGATAAATACTGATATTAACTGAAAGTTCCTACAGATGGTAAGGGTTTATGTAACACATGTAAAATCCATGGGGGGAGATTATTTTGAGTTTATTCCTGACAACAGCAAGCAACTTTAATCATAATTTAACCTATTTTATTGTTTGTGAATCATATTTCATCTCAGTATCAAACTATAGTTCTTGGGGTATTCATTTAGGAGGAAAAATCTGCACATGAAATAAATGTTTGTGATTCTAATGTTCACACTTTAAAGTATAAAATTAAGGAAGCCAATAAACACAATAAATCTCTATAGGTGCTGTGCCCACAAGGAACATTGGGAAGATGACCTAATAGAAATGAATATACAAAGCTGTGTAATTTTTTTTCTCCTATTAAATGAAATCAGTGAAATTGATCAAAGAGGAAGAAGAAACTAGCAACTTCCCCAGAAAGCAAGCTGAAGCAAGTGAGATCAGATAAAGAACCAGTCATGTTCAGCTGTAATACTTCAGGAACATTTTATGCCTTTTGAGGATTTTCATTTTTTTAAACACATCATTTTCTTTCAAGCAGAACACACATTGTATTATTATTCCTCTCAACCACGAGCAACCCCAGTTGTTTCCATTCTATGCCAGCAACATTAAGAACCTGTTCTTTGACATGAGGATCAAAGATACATAATCAAAAATTTTAAAGTAAGGAGACTTTTTCTTTCTTTTTTAAACCGGGAATGAAACATGGATGAACCTAAGTCATTGCATTAAGTGAAATAAACCAGACGTAAAAGGAGGAATAGTGAATAATTCTACTTACATGAGTTATCTATAGACAAACTCATGGAAACGAGAGAAAAATGGTGGTTGCCAGGGGAAAGGAGAAGGAAACATGGGAAATTAATGTTTAATAGTTAGAGTTTTTGTGTGGAAATATGAAAAAACTCTGAATTTGGATGGCTGTGATGGTTACAAAACCATGTGAATTTACCTACGTCACTGAACACTAAAAACAGTTGAAATGGTAATTTGGGGGTGGTGGTGGGGGGTACCAGGCACTGAATCCAAGGGTGCTTAACCACTGAGCAACATCCCCAGCCCTTTTTATTTTTAGACAGGGCCTCATTAAGTTGATGAGGCTGGTTTTGAATTTTCAATCCTCTTGCCTCAGCCTCCCAAGTCATTGGGATTACAAGCATGTGCCACCTTGACTAGCAGGAAACTTTTTCTTTAAAGAATCATCTTCCTCATGAATTATACAGCAATTTATACCAAAGCTATAAGCAGATCAACTTATATATGGCAGATAATGAGGATATTATACTGGGTATCCACTCAGAACTTCTTTAAGGAAAAACATTTACAAATATGAAGATTAAATACCTAGGGTTACATTTCTAGGTTATATTATATCATAAATACCTGAATACAGTGTATTGCCAGTGTAAAATAATCTGAAACATGTTCCATTTACAAATATGAAGATTAAATACCTAGGGTTACATTTCTAGGTTATATTATATCATAAATGCCTGAATACAGTGTATTGCCAGTGTAAAATAATCTGAAACATGTTCTATTTACAAATATGAAGACTAAATACCTAGGGTTACATTTCTAAGTTATATTATATCATAAATGCCTGAATACAGTGTATTGCCAGTGTAAAATAATCTGAAACATGTTCCCAATGAGAAGAACCAAAAATAATTTTTAGATTGACCTATATAAACTTAGACTGTAGATAAAATAGTCAAAATATCTAATTATAATAATAACAGTATTAAAAAATACATTACTTTGGTGACACATTTGAAATGAAATATATGATAAAATAATGTTAATTTAGAAATACTACATTTTTCCCCTTGTGCATTCAACAATTTTGTCTACTCTCCAATCGTGTGTCAATTGAGCAAAGATGTAAGATATATCACTAAGAAAAAAATCATACCAATTAAATTAGGCCATGCCATTACATGTACATATCAGCAATGTTAAAATTCAAAAATAAAGTTAGGGGGCTGGGGTTGTGGCTCAGAGGTAGAGCACTCGCCTGGCATGCATGAGGCACTGGGTTCAATCCTCAGCACCACATAAAGTAAAATAAAGACATTGTGTTCACCTATAACTAAAAAAAAAAAAAAAAAAATTAAATAATAAAGTTAGGATTGGTGTCTCATGACAAAAAGAGGGAAGAGAAACCTAGCTATTCTTTTGTTTAACCTATGGATTTAAAAATAAATCCACTGAACCAGGCTAAATTATATAAGAATACTTTAGGTACTTTTACAGAAGGAAAATTGTGTGTAAACAAACATACCATGTAAATATATGTATATACATATATCATAATATGGTAACATATAATGATCACACAAAAGAAACAAATATACAAATAATATTTTCAATCTAACTACCAAGGTTTTAAGAGACTATTTGAATCGTCATCTTTTTACTTTCTAAAGGATCTTAATAGTATGGGTGATGGAAAGACATAGGGAAGAACTGTGAGATGACTCAATGGTGGATTAAAAAAGAGGACTACCTTCATTTTTTTAACATATATATTTAATAGTTCCTCAATAATGTGCAGGACAGAATGTAATAGATACTATCAGAAGCAAAAATAAAGGAAAAGGAAGCTGGGAGAGGTGGCGTACATCTGTAATCCCAGAAGCTCAGGAAGCTGAAGCAGGAAGATCATGAGTTTCAAAGTCAGCCTCAGCAAAAGTGAGGTGCTAAGCAACTCAGGTAACCCTGTCTCTAAATAAAATACAAAATAGGCCTAGGGATGTGGCTCAGTGGTCAAGTGCCCTGACCCCGGTATCCTCCTACACCCACAAAAGGAAAAGGAGATTACTACTGAAAGGGATAAACTTTGAAAAGGATAACTGTTTTAAAAGGAGTCAAACTGCCACAAACAAATAACAGGAAAGAAAATTCTAATCAAAGAGAAAAGAGTAAAAAAGGTAAATAAGAAAAAAAAAAACATATACCTACTAATTTTGACTTCCTTTGTAAGAAAACAGTTCATTCTTGCAAGATTATCAAACTAAGAACTGGAAACACCATCCTATCAACTAGCTTCATTTTGGAGGATTAATGACAAATAGAAGCATCTCCATTTTCATTACATAAAAGTTCAAATAGTACTCGTAAAATCTTTAAAAGAACATAAGAAACTCAAAGGGCCATCACCCTGAGGCATTCAGTTGAAACCTACCAACTATCTTACCTAATTTCTCCAAAAGTTGCCAGTAAAGTTCTCTCTCTTAAACATACACATATGCAAGTAACATTCCCAGATAAAATCACTGCTGGCATGATAGGGAAAAGTCCCTGTTCTTTTTGTTCAAGCTCAGTTCAGTACTTTGATTCTTCATCTACAGAAGTACAGACACTTCTCATTCCTATTAAGAGGTGCTGTAAGTTAATGTTTTAGTAGTTTAGACAGTTAATTCAGGGGCTAACTACCATGGATCTAAGTTTGAGCAAACTGGGACCACCCTTACTTTAAAAAAAAAAAAATCAAGTAACTAAGCCCAACTAGATAGACCATATAGCATTTTAAAATAAAGTTAGTTGTTTAACTCAGAATGATTCAGAATGCAGTTCCCCTAAAAACAATATTGTAAGTACTGATTAAGTTTTCTTCCTAGTCCACAAAATTCAAGTTTAACCAGGATGTAAAAGCCTAGAACCAATAGATCTACA